GTGATTACGGTTCAGGGCAGGGTACTGGGCGGAGGCTGGCTAGTGGTGACTGTTTAACAGTCTGAATGTCTGGAGATAGAAGCTGTTTTTCCAGTCTCTCGGTCCCAGCTGTGATGCACCTGTACTGGAGGGCCCTGCGGTTGCGGACGGTTCAATTGCCTTACCAGGCGGTGATACAGCCGGACAGGATGCTCTCAATGGTGCATCTGTAGAAGTTTGTGAGGGTCTTGAGGGCCAAACCGAATTTCTTCAGCCTCCTGAGGTTGAAGAGGCACTGTTGCACCTTCTTCACCACACTGTCTGTGTGGGTGGACCATTTCAGATTGTCAGTGATGTGTACACCGAGGAACTTGAAGCTTTTGACCCTCTCCACTGCAGCCCCGTCGATGTGGATGGGAGATGGGGCCGTGCTCCCTCTGCTGTCTCCTGTAGTCCATGATCAGCTCCTTCGTTTTGTTGACGTTGAGGGAGAGGTTATTTTCCTGGCACCACTCCGCCAGGGCTCTCACCTCCTCCCTGTAGGCTGTCTCATTGCTGTTGGTAATCAGGCTTACCACTGTTGTGTCATCTGCAAACTTGATGATTGAATTGGAGACGTACGTGGCCACGCAGTCATGGGTGAACAGGGAGTACAGAAGGGGGCTGAGCACGCACCCCTGTGGGCCCCCCGTGTTGAGGATCAGCATGGTGGAGGTGTTGTTGCCTACCTTCACCACTTGGGGTCGGCCTGTCAGGAAGTCCAGGATCCAGCTGCACAGGGAGGGGTTCAGACTCAGGGCCCTGAGCTTAGTGATGAGCTTGGAGGGCACTATGATGTTGAAGGCTGAGCATAGGTATTTACTGTATCTTGTCCAGGTGGAATAGACCATTGTGCAGTGTAATGGCGATTGCGTAGTCCGTGGATCTGTTGGGGCGATATGTGAATTGTAGTGGGTCTAGGGTGTTGGGTATGGAGGAGGTAATATGGTCCTTAACTAGCCTCTCAAAATGCCTCTCATGATGACAGAAATGAATGCTATAGGCATAGTAATTTAGTTCAGTTACCTTCGCTTTCTTGGGTACAGGAACAATGGTGGACATCTTGAAGCAAGTGGGAACAACAGACTGAGATAGGGAGAGATTCCAGCCAGCTGGTCTGCACATGTTCTGAGGACGCGGCTTGGGATGCCGTCTGGGCCGGCAGCCCTGCGAGGGTTAACACGCTTAAATTACTTACGTCGGCCACGGAGAACGAGAGCACACAGTCCTCATGAGGGTCGGGGCCTGCGTCGGCATCTCGATGTTGCTTTCCTTGAAGTGGGCAAAGAAGGTGTTTAGCTCACCCTGGAGCATGACATCGATGTCCGCGATGTGGCTGGCTTTCCTTTATAATCCATGATTGTCTGGAGTTCCTGCAACATACTCCTCGTGTCTTAACCGTTGAATTGCAACTTAACTTTGTCCCTGTACTGTTGTTTTGCCTCTTTGATTGCCTTACGGAGGTCATAGCTGGTCTGTTTGTACACATCCATGTTCCCAGTCACCTTGCCATGGTTAAATGCGGTGGTTCGCGCTTTCAGTTTTGCACGAATGCTGCCATCTATCCACGTTTTTTGGTTTGGATAAGTTCTAATCGTCACAGTGGGAACAACATTGTTTATGCACTTCCTGATGAATCCCGTCACCAAGTCAGTGTATATGTCGATACTATTCTGAGAGGCGACATCATAAACACAGGTTGTAATCTCACACTGCTGGGTGAGTATTGCTGAGTGAGTACTGCTGGGTGAGTATTGCTGGGTGAGTACTGCTGGGTGGTTATTGCTGGGTGTGTACTGCTGGGTGAGTACTGCTGGTTGAGTACTGTTGCTTTATGTGCTGCTGCCAAAACATGTCTCCCTCTTTTTACCTCCACAGCAGTAAAAGTTATTTTGTCAGGGGATGAAACATTTGGAAGCTGTCAGAGTTCAGGAGAGGTAAAAACTTGACCCCTGACCTCTGGTGAGCCCACCCCTAGTCCCCAGTGTCCCACACACTGGGCTCCCATGGCTCTTATCTTCACCACCATTACTGCTGCCCAAGACCTGGCTGTATATATCCCTGGCTCTAGCCCTACCAGTCCCCAGCCGTTTTAGGGCCAGGCCACATGCAGCCAACATTGTTAATGCGCAGCACTAGTGCTTCGCTTGGGAATTCAGCAGGAAAGGACTGAAGCTCTCCCTCAACAGTTGTACATAAGGGATGGAGTCAGTAACAGTTATTGCCCCTTTTCTAGGTCACATACCATGCCAATACAAGAGGCAAGGGAAGTCAACCAGACCCAGAACTGATACTGGAACAAAAAGAGAGGATGAGTCATGTATAGATCGATACTAGGCAGGTGAGTCTACTTGGCTTGCATGACCTTGCTGTTCTATATATGCCATGTGTCAATGTTGATTCTGAACAACCACACAGGGTAGGAGAGAGAGACATTATATCCTTAGAGAGTTCTCTCTGCTTGGGTTCCTTGTCTCTTCAGCAACACACCTATAGCAGCGCTCACAGCCGCGTCCCCGGACACCCACCCCACTGTCTGTCTGTCGTTGTGGTGGAGACTGTGAGACCGTGGTCAGACGGGAGGCGGGCGCGGTCTGACGGTTGGTCGGTGAGTTAGGGCTGAAGGTTTTCTAGAGGGCCTGGTGGAGCAGCTCCAGCCCCAGACCTTTTGTTCTTTGTTTGCCGCTGTGAGGTACATGTGTTGCAGTTTAGCCCACGCCTCCCTCACCTAAATGGATAATTGTATCGAAATTACAGTGGCAAGCCCAGCTCAAGACCGCTGTAAGGGGGAGGGGGTCTGCTGCGGCCACAGGGAGTTTGTCAGAAGTGCAGGCACACTTTGGATTGTGCCATGTTAAGGAAAGAGGGGGGTTAGTTGCCAGGAGTCACGGCCATCAGTGTTAATAAATGACTTGGTGTGGTGAAAACTGAACAGTCCCCCAGTTTCCTCCTCCCTCCACCAAACTCATAATACTCCTGGAAATAGAGTGACTCAACAGTAACCACCACAAACTCCTATCTGTTGCCTTGAGTGACAATGATTTTACACTTATTTTTCCAGGCAGCTCCCAGTTTCTTGTCTCTCTAACGGCCCGTGAACTATCGGTGAGGTAAGATTTATGAGTCTATAACATGTTGAGAGATGAAAAGCTGTTGACAGTGAGTAGTGTGAGTAGTGTTTACAGTGCTACAGTTAACACTGGAGATGACACATGAACTCTTCTGAACAGTGAAATATGCGTGTGAGAGTCATTCCCTTTGATCACGTTTCCACCGACGTGACAATGATCTAACTTCTAATTCTGATTACTGCTAGTGTGACACAGAACCACAGAACTCCGTGACCTGACCCACCTGGGCATCCAGAACATGTTTGTTTTCGTCCTCATTCTTGTAGTCAAATAAGTCGCGGCAAGTTCAAAGCACAAACACATATGGACACATGAATCCATGCTAGTGAGTAGTGGAAGAAAGACAGAAAGATGAAAGGATGTTTGATGGAATTAAAACCATTCTTGTCTCACATGAAATTAAGCTGAACAAAGAGCGACACAGAGAAAGAATTGTCCGTTGTAAGTAGCAGGACAAGCAGTTCTGTCTAGACTTTGATACCTAGGGCAAGGGGAGGTTAGGGTTAAAGATTGTGCCAGGATGTGGGTGAGGTTTAGGTTAAATATGGAAATATGTTAAAAGTTATAGTTGGGAGCCAGAAAGGTTCATGGTCAAGTTTAGCATCAGGGTTAGCATTAAGTCATCTTCTAAACATTACTACATTGTAATCACAATACTGTACCACAGACACCATTACACTCGTCTATTCTCACGTAATGTTAGTGAGAACAGCTCAGAACAATGCTATCCTAAATAACCCACCCCCCCCACCCAGCCACCCCCCCAGGCCCTGTGTGGCTAGCTAGTCCCAACAGAACCCTGCCAGCCTCCGCTAGGCTGCTGGTAGATACAGGGGTTTGATCTACGGGTTTAATTCAAATAGAAGGATGCAAATTAGCCACCTTGACCAGGTCACCACATTAAAACAGTAAAACAGCTTTCATCCAGAGGCTCATTAGAGGGGCCAGTCGGTGGCTGACTGACTGGGGGAACTGGGCTGGGCCCTCAGCAGGCAGGGTGCACCGGGGCCCGCCCTCCCTTCCTCCCCCCACCACACCCTGCCTCCGCCTCACAGCCAGGCACAACAGAGAAGAGAAGAAAAGGCACATTAGGCTGGGGGTAATTTCCTCTGGAGTCACCATGCGCCTGTTGCTGCAAACCGCTTATGGCTCTATAAAAGATACCAGGAGACTTCTAATTAGCCTTTCCTCCAGCGCAGCGCTAGCCTCCCCTCTGTCTCTCATGCTGTGTGGAGGGATGCTGACGACAACACTCTCTAATTTGCCTGACTGCCTTCCTGCCTGCCTGCCTCTCTCTGGCTTCAATTGACGTGAGGTACAACAGACACTCAGTCACTGCTGTAAATAGCTATCGGCAAGGCAGGCAGGCAGGCATACATGCAACGTAATATGTCAATTTCATGTTGTGAGAAACATGGCTCCATGAGATTTGTAATGGGGTGTTGATAATTGATTAACTTGATAGTCATACATTGAACAAAAAGCTTTATTCTATTTGAAATCTGAACCTCAAATCTTCTGAACTTACAAACTCCTTTTGGCTTTCTTGACATGTGAAGTTCTATGATTATCTTCTAGTCTGTGAATTTCTTTGCGCAAGTAGAACTCATTTATATGTAATTCTGGTCCATATAACTGCTCAAATCTTATGACCTATGAGAGGAAGGTAAAATAGCTAACAGTGGACCACCATCATGGAATGGAGCTACCGCATAATACACCATTCTATGTTAAAGATAAAAATAACAACTCATCTTTCCATTCTTTTCATCAGTCAGTGTTTATTTCAATCAGATGTGCCCTCACTGATGAAAATCAGAGAAATCCGCTGTTATTTTTGCTTTTTTCTCCATGACAGACACAGTGGCACGTATGTTTGATCACAGGTACCCGATATGAATGGAGAATGAGGCTTTTTGAGGGGGAGGCCCTTTAGAGTTCCCCAGTAGGAAAACAGAATATGGGACCTTACAAACACGGCCTCCACATGAAGAGTGCTGGGGCTGGGGCTGGGGCTGGGGCTGGGGCTGCCCTCCCTTGCCCTCTCTCTCCCCCAGACCTACCGTCTCCACCTCCACCCTCTACCTTCCCCCTGTCCCTCTCTGCCCGTCTCTGTGGGACTGGAGCAGAGGTAAAGGGGCTCCCTGTCCCCCAGCCTAGCGCTACACCAGTCCAGCACTACTTTCCTCTCCACTACACACAGGAGCCAGAGCTGGAGCAGTCTGCCCAGCCGTGCTTTACCTCAGTCATCGCATCAGGCCATGCTACTGACGACTGCCTGCCTGACGTACTTTCTTCAACTGGACAATCTTTTTCCACCACTCACTTAAACTCCAACTAGTCATTTAAACTGGTCACAGATTACATCAAATGTATTGAATGTATAAACATAGTATTAGAAGAAAATAAATCCAATCCAATACTTAGGTCCAATGTTCTAATAGTGCTGCATCAGAGAAAAGCTTTTCTCTCCCTCTGCACCTGTTTAGAGAAAACATCCCCAAACATCAGAGTGTGAAGGAATGAGCCCAGGCTAAGACCTCTTTAGACAAGATAATGCCCCCCTAATTCCACCTCGGTGCTGCTGAATAGCCCCCTCTCCCGTGCCAATGGAACCGTTGCTATACCGAGGCTTACTCTCCCAAAGCCCTGGGCCAATATTAACAATGGGGGCTGGGCTAGCAAAAACACTTTGTGCTGGTTTTGAGCTCTCCTGACTCTCCTGTGCCTCACTACACTGTGTTGAGAAGCAGGGTGTGGCCTTCGCGCTATAGTAAGGCCCTCTGGACCAGAACACTGAGATGAAATCAGGACAAAGGACAGCACACACAGGCACACCTGACCTGACGTGACCCTCCACACCTGGTGACCTGAGGTTCCATCAGACAACAGAGATGTTGATGCTATGTAGAGCAGACAGAGTGGACAATTAGCTTAGTCTCTACTCTGTGGTGTTCACAGTGCTTCTAGAAAACTTTTACATCTCACTATTTGTCATTTACAGATAGAAACTCAATGTTCTTATTTAAAATGTAAATAGATCCGGTCTGTTATTTTACACAAGAGTTGTTACAATTCATCTGTGAATGTTTTAATGTGTGAATCATTATTACCTGCGTACCACACACAGTTGTTGACATGAGGTTAATCAAAACACGGTTGGTTAGGTAAGTGTGTGTGTGTGTGTGTGTGTATGTGCATATGTATGTGTATGTTTACAGTATATACAGTTCATTCCGAAAGTATTCAGACCCCTTGACTTTTTCCACATTTTGTTACGTTACAGCCTTATTCTAAAATGTATTAAATAATTATTGTTCCTCATCAATCTACACACAATACCCCATGACAAAGCGAAAACAGATTTGTTGATATTTTTGAAAAACATAAACACCTTTACGTAAGTATTCAGACCCTTTGCTATGAGACTCGAAATTGAGCTCAGGTGCATCCTGTTTCCATTGATCATCCTTGAGATGTTTCTACAACTTGATTGGAGTCCACCTGTGGTAAATTCAATTGATTGGACATGATTTGGAAAGGCACACACCTGTCTATATAAGGTCCCACAGTTGACAGTGCATGTCAGTGCAAAAACCAAACCATGAGGTGGAAGGAATTGTCCGTAGAGCTGAGCAATCGGGGGAGAAGGGCCTTGGTAGAGTGGCCAGACGGAAGCCACTCCTCAGAAAAAGGCACATGACAGCCCGCTTGGAGTTTGCCAAAAGGCAGCTAAAGGACTCTCAGACCATGAGAAACAAGATTCTCTGGTCTGATGAAACCAAGATTGAACTCTTTGGCCTGAATGCCAAACGTCACGTCTGGAGGAAACCAGGCACTGCTCATCACCTTGCCAATACCATCCCTACGGTGAAGCATGGTGGTGGCAGCATCATGCAGTGGGGATGTTTGTCAGCGGCAGGGACTGGGAGACTAGTCAGGATCGAGGGAAATATGAACGGAGCAAAGTACAGAGAGATCCTTGATGAAAACCTGCTCCAGAGCGCTCAGGTCCTCAGACTGGGGCGAAGGTTCACCTTCCAACAGGACAACGACCCTAAGCACACAGCCAAGACAAAGCAGGAGTGGCTTCGGGACAAGTCTCTGAATGTCCTTGAGTGGCCCAGCCAGAGCCCGGACTTGAACCCGATCTAACATCTCTGGAGAGACCTGAAAATAGCTGTGCAGCGACGCTCCCCATCCAACCTGACAGAGCTTGAGAGGATCTGCAGAGAAGAATGGGAGAAACTCCCCAAATACACAGCTGTGCCAAGCTTGTAGCGTCATACCAAAGACGACTCGGGGCTGTAATCACTGCCAAAGGTGCTTCAACAAAGTACTGAGTAAAGGGTCTGAATACTTAGGTAAATGTAATATTTCCGGGGTTTTTTGTTATATAAATTAGCAAAAACATCTAAAAACCTGTTTTTGCTTCGTCATTATGGGGTATTGTGTGTAGATTGATGAGGATTTTTATTTATTCAATCCATTTTAGAATAAGGCTGTAACGTAACAAAATGTGGAAAAAGTCAAGGGGTCTGAATACTTTCCGAATGCACTGTGTATGTGTGTGTTAGCTCAGTCAGCAGTGGACTCTGGGTTAGAATAGGTTCACTGTGTATTCCTGTGGGTCGTGCCAGAGGATCGGCCCAAACAAAGCAGCGCTCTCTCTCAGCCTTGTCCGTTTGACTGCCTGCCTGCGCAGTTTAGGTTAAAGGCAGTTAATTGGTTTCCTGCTCAGGGTTACGTCAACACGCTTACGTCAACACGCTGTCTTGTTTTAAACAGTGTGGAAACTTGAGAGAAGCAACAATATGGCACTGTTTGCTCACCCCTGCCTCCCAAAGCCAGTTAGAATAATACCAGAGCTTGCCTGCTTATCATTCCCATAGAGTTGTAAGACTTCATACGCTCTGAAATCCAAACACACAGCAGTTTAAACACTCCACTGATCGCCAAGCAGAATAATACAGTGTCACACAGAGCGGTCCTGAACACTGGTCACTTTAATGTTTCCCACTTCATATGTGTATATACTGTATTCTAGTCATGGCTCATCCTATATAGCTTAGTGGGTAAGAGTGTTGTGCCAGTAACCGAAAGGTCGCTGGTTCTAATCCCCAAGCCGACTAGGTGAAAAATCTGTCGATGTGCCCTTAAGCAAGGCACTTAACACTAATTGCTCATGTAAGTCGCTCTGGATTAGAGCGTCTGCTAAATGACTAAAATGTAAATAACTACTGCTGTACACACATTTTCTATTCATATACTGTCTTTACACACACACACATTCCAGTCTCTGACATTGCTCGTTCTGATATTTCTTAATTTAGATTTTTCTGAATTGTGTGTATTTTCTGTTTTTACTGTTAGATATTACTGCACTGTTGGAGCTAGAAACACAAGCATTTATAATAATAATATAATATGCCATTATAGAGACCTTTTATCCAAGCGACTTACGTGTGCGTGCATCATTTTTTGTGTATGGTGGTCCGGGATCGAACCCACTACCTTGGCGTTACAAGCGCCGTGCTCTACCAGCTGAGCTACAGAGGACCACATTTCACTGCACCTGCGATAACATCTGCAAATCTGTGTACACGACCACTAAACTTTGATTTGATCCTGTTGGAGCTCAAAGCAAGGCAAATAAATCAGAGAGATCCTCCAGCAGTTTGCACTCATCCTTAGACCCCATGTGATTTACAATAACTGACCACTAGATTTATGTGGCAATATATAAAGGATACTTTGTGGTAATGGCAGGGGGTAGGAGAACTCTCTTGTCTTGGACCCATTGCTTTTATATTGGCTTTGTTTCCCCTGTACAGTGACAAGTAGATTATTTTTCAGCAATATTAAATTTTTTAAAGACTACATGAACACCCAAATTTGATGTTTTTTTAGATACTAGAGTATTTTGTTGTCTTCCACAGTCCTACGGTCAGATGTATTCAGACTGGGAATTAATAGTCCTATGAATCTTATAAGCTCTCTCTTTTGCTGTGAAATTATTTTCATACTCCCTACATGGGTGTAAATCACAGAGGCTAACCCTCAGTCAATGACTGACTCTGTTTTTCAGATGACACAGCAGCGAGCCAAACCGACGCTCCACCTGCCGTATTGGAACCCAATGCTGAGCTCACCCAGCTTGACCCTACAGGAGAGCCCTGGGGTGAATAGCACACTGCTTCACTTCACTACATTATAGCCCTACATGTTATCATCGGAATGTTATTGAAGTCTGTGTTATCCTTCATGATGTATCATCTCTGCAGTGAAGCCTCGGTTTAGCCAGCCCACTAAGATGCGCAGGCGGGTGCTGTACAAGCCGGTGGGGAGCTCAGTGAGGTTCAAGTGCCAGGCCAGCGGCACCCCTCCCCCCGTCATCACCTGGTGGAAGGACCAGACTCCTCTGCCACCCCCGCGCCAGGGCAAGCGCCCCCAGTGGACCCTCACCCTGAAGAACCTGCAGCCCCAGGACAGTGCCAAGTACACCTGCCACGTCTCCAACCCAGCCGGGCACATCAACGCCACCTACAAGCTGGATGTCATCGGTAAGGATGGGTCACTGCACTGGCCAACACCACTAAACACCACCAACATCACCAACTTTCAGCATGCTTATAGGGAAGGACATTCAACAAGCACAGCCGTTACACAAATGACTGATGATTGGCTGAGAGAAATTTATGATATAAAGATTGTGGGGGCTGTTTTGTTAGACTTCAGTGCGGCTTTTGACATTATCGATCATAGTCTGCTGCTGGAAAAACGTATGTGTTATGGCTTTACACCCCCTGCTATATTGTGGATAAAGAGTTACCTGTCTAACAGAACACAGAGGGTGTTCTTTAATGGAAGCCTCTCCAACATAATCCAGGTAGAATCAGGAATTCCCCAGGGCAGCTGTCTAGGCCCATTACTTTTTTCAATCTTTACTAATGACATGCCACTGGCTTTGAGTAAAGCCAGAGTGTCTATGTATGCAGATGACTCAACACTATACATGTCAGCTACTACAGCGACTGAAATGACTGCAACACTTAACAAAGACTTGCAGTTAGTTTCAGAGTGGGTGGCAAGGAGGAAGTTAGTCCTAAATATTTACAACTCAAAGCATTGTATTTGGGACAAATCATTCACTAAACCTCAACTAAATCTTGTAATAAATAATATGGAAATTGAGCAAGATGAGGTGACTAAACTGCTTGGAGTATCCCTGGATTGTAAACTGTCATGGTCAAAACATATTGATACAACAGTAGCTAGGATGGGGAGAAGTATGTCCATAATAAAGCGCTACTCTACCTTCTTAACAGCACTATCAACAAGGCAGGTCCTACAGGCCCTAGTTTTGTCACACCTGGACTACTGTTTAGTCGTGTGGTCAGGTGCCACAAAAAAGGACTTAGGAAAATTGCAATTGGCTTAGAACAGGGCACCTGGACACCCATGCATACCCCACAAGACATGCCACAAGAAGTCTCTTCACAATCCCCAAGTCCAGAACAGACTATGGGAGGTGCACAGTACTACATAGAGCCATAACTACATGGAACTCTATTCCACATCAAGTAACTGATGCAAGCAGTAAAATTAGATTTAAAAAACAGCTAAAAATACACCTTATGGAACAGCGGTGACTGTGAAGCAACACGAACATAGGCACAGACACATGCATACACACACACGATAACATACGCACTATACACACACATACACATGGATTTTGTGTACAACCAACAACACCAAACACCACCAACACCAACAACAACACACCAAACACCACCAACACCAATACCACCAACAACACTACCAACACCAACAACACCACCACCACCACCAACAACAACACCAAACACTACCAACAACACCACCAACAACACCAAACACCACCACTACCAACAACAACAACACCAACAACAACATCACCAAACACCATCAACAACACCAACAACACCAACACCAAACACCACCAACAACAACACCAACACCAACACCAACAACAATACCACAACCAACACCACCAACAACACCACCAACACCAACAACAATACCACCACCACCAACAACACCACCACCAAACACCACCAACCACCAACAACACCAAACACTACCAACACCAACAACCCCACCATCACCAACCACCACCAACCCCACCAACACCAAACACCACCAACACCACCACCAGGACAAATCATTTTTCCTTTTCCTCCATCGTTTTACACCACACTCCATTTATACCCCAAGCCTCTCTTATGTTTCCAAGGTAATTGTGCTTAGTGTGTTGTCAATATGATTCACATGCTTATGAACTCCTGTCCTTCTCCCTACAGAGCGCTCTCACTGCAAGCCTGTTCTGACCGGCACCCACCCGGTCAACACCACTGTGGAGTATGGCGGCACCGCCTCCTTCCAGTGTAAGGTCCACAGTGACGTGAAGCCCGTGGTCCAGTGGCTGAAGAGGGTGGACCCAGGCACAGAGGACCGCTATAACTCCACCCTGGAAGTCGGAGGGCAGCATTTCGTGGTTCTGCCCACAGGGGATGTGTGGTCCCGGCCCGACGGCTCCTACCTCAACAAGCTGGCTATCGTCAAGGCCCGTGATGAGGATGCTGGGATGTACATCTGCCTGGGAGCTAACACTATGGGTTACAGCTTCCGCAGTGCTTACCTCACCGTGCTGCCAGGTGAGTACAGCCATTCACTCTGAACTGTAGAATGGGACTTTACTGGGATGGAATGGCAGGGGGTTATTCTTGTTATATATTGTCTTATAACACTTCAGAAAGCTTGGATCTGTAGCGCTGTCACTGATCTCTCCACTGTTGTATGTCCAGACCCTCAGGTGGAGAACACAGTGACTCCTCCACACCTGAGCTCCGGCCTGCCCTGGCCTCTGATTATCGGCATCCCTGCAGCAGCCCTCCTCATCGTAGGCACCATTGTACTCTGGCTGTGCCACAGCCGCCGACGCCACAACACCCTGCCCCCACGCCCGATGACCATGGCCCACCGAGACCACCACATCTCGGACAAAGAGCCCAGCACCACCACCCCCTGTAGTGCCCTGACTAGCCCTGACTACCCCAGCCAGAGACTGGTGGGCCTGGGAAGCCCCGGCCTCAGTGGACCCCCTAAGATCTACTCCAACATTTACACAGACATGCACACGCACACACACTCCCACGCCCATGTGGATGGTAAGGTCCATCAACACCAGCATTTCCACTACCAGTGCTAACCAGCCCCCTCTCATCCCACCCCACACCTAGCCACTGCTGCTATTCTCACCCAACAATGGACTATGAGCAAGGTAGATGGAAACAAGGAAAGGCTTGTAGTTCATATGAACTACACCTCCCATGATAAGCAATGCTAAAACACCATACAGTGGCAAAACCCTTACCAGGTTGGATCCTGGGATACGCATATTACTAAGCTGCCTGCTTTGGAGGAATACTACTTCATTGAGAAGTCTCAGGGCAAGAAATACCCTCTCACATGTGAGTCATTTCTTTGTTATGTGTTTTTTTTATACCAGTCAACCAAGATCAAACTCTAATTGTATTTTAAAGGATGAAAATATGACTTTAAAAATACGATTTAGATGTCTTTGGATATATAATAATAATATGCCATTCAGCAGACACTTTTATCCAAAGCGACATACAGTCATGCGTGCATACATTTTTGTGTATGGGTGGTCCCGGGGATCGAACCCACTACCCTGGCATTACAAGCGCCGTGCTCTACCAGCTGAGCTACAGAGGACCACATGGATGCACGTAGCCCTGGAGAAATCATTCATTAGTTAATGGGAGAAATCATTAATTAGTTAATGGTTGAAATGACCAGGTTTAGGTTCAATTTAGGTCAATTCAAATTTGATTAAAGGTATTCCAGTTTACACAAATGAGCGTTTCTAATAGAATTTACCCCAACTCTGGAATGTACAATTGTTGTTTTTTTAAATAAAAAATTACACTCATTTAAACATGTACCGGTATCCAAATTTCCAAAGCATAAAGTTATATAAGGAACTTTTAAGCTGGTGTAAATTGGAAAATGCAAGATTTATATATTTTATAAATTGGAAAATGTAACTGTGACAAATTAAAATCTAGCCAAAATGTTTACAATGTGAAATATTTTCTATTTTCATTATAGCAACACAAACTGTGGTGTCCTCTGTTCTGATATAGGTGGTATTATTTTTGTTTCATGTAGGAAAGTACAATTCATCAGGGAAATTAAATGGATGGATGGATTAGGTGATGAGGGCTTTTTGATTTTTGTATTCAGATAGTGTAATATGTATCCAACTAAAAAAGCAGTATTAGTAGTAGTAGTATTCACCCTGTATGTGTCAGATGCCAAGTTATTTTACAGCGCTATAGATGTGTATATTACTTACATTTCTTGTGAGGTATATTTTTGTATAAGGTACATGAGGACGAGTATTGTACCTGTGTCTATTGGTTTTTAAAACTCACCAAAAAGCTATTTAGTTGTGTTTTTACTTTATTGTTCTATATTTCTTTTGTAACAACCATTATTCTCGATTGGATTGACCTATGGATCATTTTGTGAAAAATGTGACAAGTGTTGATTGTATTGTTAAGTTGAATTACAACATTATGCTGGCCTAGTTGCTGGCCTAGTTGATTAAGAATCTGACCATATGATTAATACTGTATATAAGATGATTACAAAGATAATGTAACAGAGTCATTAACCCTCACAATTGCCATGTTAATCTTATGCAATTCCTCTGTGAAACATTGCATGCTGCAAACTCCCCTCTGGTGCTCATGTACATTTAGTACTGAACAATAATATTTTTGTAATGTTTTTTAAAATACGTTTTACTGTTTTCTGTTTCGTGTTCCGTTTGCAAAATGTATTTAAATGAAAACATGTTATTTTTTAAATAAAAACAACGCCATTCTGGTCCATGTTGATTTGCTACTTTACACCAACAAAAAAAAAAAAAAAAAAAAAAAAAAAAAAAAAGAAAGGCCTCCATACACTTATATAGTTTAAGATCCTCTGGAATGCTCTCGGAAATCTAGTTTACTTTCAACACCAGGCAAGGAGATAAATATTCCCAATAGGATATGATTAGGATTAATATGAGGGCAGGGTTACACAGACGCAGGCAACGGTGCACAAGGGCTACTTCCTCAGTTTCTCCCTGGATGATTGTAACTGCAAATCATTACCGACACAACAGATTATGTCTTTGTCACTACCTTACATGAGTTGGCTGTTGTAGTTTCTCTCTCTCAGAAACAAAATGCTTACAAAGCATTATGTTAGGGTAACCAATTGCATCAAAATGTCTATTTACCATGAAAATGCCATTTGGTTTAGCTGTTTCATACCATGTATAAAATCCTGACGTTGTGTTGAGAATGTGTTTAGCGCCATAGCTTCATTCATAGAAAATATGTGTTGAACAACAATTTATGTGTAACAATTACTCAACAACATGTTGTGTCCGTTCCTCCAATGAATGTGTTAAACGCTGAAAACGTCAGTCCGTTCTTCTGTATCTCAAGTCCAAAACTGTCTGAGCTGGTCTATCTGGACTGCATATCTGACTGGCTTACATCTAATAAATAACTTGTTTGAGATGTTTCAAGAATGGTATTTTGCATGTACAAAATGTGTTTCATGTAAGAGTTTGGTATATGGAGCACTGTATTAATTGAATAAATGGCTATTGTTTTTCTACACGTCTTTCCCATTTACAGAATTGTAAAGTGGAATTAAGTGGAATATAACGCAATATCTGAAGAATAATAAACACATCGGCTGCGTTTACACAGACAGCCCAATTCTGATCTTTGTTTCACTAATTGGTATTTTGACCAATCAGATCAGCTCTGAAAAAGATCTGATGTGAAAATATCTGATGTGATTGGTCAAAAGACCAATTAGTGGAAAAATATTAGAATTTGGCTGCCTGTGTAGACGCATCCATCTTTTGACTCACTCGTGTCTAGTTCGGGTAAGATCTCAACTGCATACTCCCCACGTCCTCTCTCAAAACCCATTGGATGAGAAAGCCAGAGGTCCCGCCCCTCTGACCCTGTCCTCCAGTGGGCTTTGAGAAGGAGACGAGGAGCGATTGCAATGGAGATCTTCTCATGTTGTATTAGTTGTGTTAACAAATTATGTGTTAAATGTGCCAACACAATGATTGTGTTAAAAGTAACAATATGTGTTGTTCCTAACTAGACACAGGGATGTGTTAAAACAGTGGTTCCTAACCTTTTTAGGTTACTGTCCCACCAACTGCATTTTGCTCTACCTGGAGTACCCCTGAGGTACACCCTCATGTTCATTTTATCAGTCGGCCTATCAGAGGAGGCTGGTGGGAGGGCGGGCTCATTGTAATGGCTGGAGTAGAAATATTGGAACGGTATCTAACATATGGAAACCACATATTTCTGTAGCTCAGCTGGTAGAGCACGGCGCTTGTAACGCCAAGGTAGTGGGTTCGATCCCCGGGACCACCCATACACAAAAATGTATGCACGCATGACTGTAAGTCGCTTTGGATAAAAGCGTCTGCTAAATGGCATATTATTATATTTGACTCTGTTCCATTTATTCCATTCCAGCCATTACAATGAGCCAGTCCTCCTATAGCTCCTCCCACCAGTTAGGACTAAGGCCTATGGTCTCATGAGTCTTCTCAAGTACCCCCTGTGGATTGGCCAAGTACACCCAGGAACCACTGTGTTAAAAAATAACACAACTTGTTGTTTTTAACACATCTGTTCTAAGAGTGTTGAACAGAAAAACAACCAACAACATTTCAAATGCACATGATGATACATCTATATTCCCTGATATGATTACAGTGTTGTGAATGCACGAGTTCCAATCTAAAATTTCATAACATGATATTGCTGTGTTGTTTTACACTATTACAACATTTTACATCTGTAGCTCAGCTGGTAGAGCACGGCACTTGTAACGCCAAGGTAGTGGGTTCGATCCCCGGGACCACCCATACACAAAAATGTATGCACGCATGACTGTAAGTCGCTTTGGATAAAAGCGTCTGCTAAATGGCATATTATATTATATTATTATTATTATTACATACCAACAAGGAACATCAACTTATAAAGCCACTGAGGAGTGTTTTCTGCCATTCACTACCGTGCATTCTAATTTCAGCGTGCACACGCTCCTTCGCGTTCTTCTTCAATTTAATGTGCATTCCGCCACCTACTGTGCGGGATGGAAACAGGATTCCAAAAATGGAACAAAATACCAAAACAACTACCAAATGACCAAAACAACAACAAAAAAACGAAACTAAATCAAACAGCTTTTCTTTTTAAAAAAATAACATAAAAAAGATCTGATCCCTACACAGGCTCAAGGGGAACCTGGGAGGTCAGGTCTTCCAGCGCCAGTACCCTTTGTAAAATCCTTGAGTCCCAAAAACTTTTCTGCACAGCCACAATAATGTCCAGTTTCTTCGACTTCTTTGAGACTTGTACTGAACAGTTTATAACTGTGGTAATGAACGCAACAAAATCCACCTTTTTAACACACAGGGTATCTTATGTCTGGCAGCAAACATTTACTACAGGCTGTGGTGTATCCACTACCATCGATTCACTAGCATCACTTGTTTTCTCAATTCATTTAATCGCCTCCACGTAAGAGATTCGATTGACCGCTCTTACTTTTGCCACCTCAATTTGCTTCACCCTTACAGGGCACTCCAGGAACTCAGGATCATGATCCCCACCACAATTGCAACATCGTCGTCCTTCTACACACCGTTCGTCAGTATACGTACTCTGTTTACCACCACAAACCAATGCTGCCATTAAGATAAGGCCTCCTGTAGCTCAGTTGGTAGAGCATGGCGTTGGGTTGTGGGTTCAGTATGAAAAATGTATGCACTCACTAACTGTAAGTCGCTCTGTATAAGAGCGTCTGCTAAATGACTAAAATGTATGTGAGCTGTATAAGGCCATAACTAAACAGGAAAACGCTCATCCAGAGGCAGCGCTCCTAATGGCCGGGGACTTTAATGCAGGGAAACTTAAATCTGTTCTACCTAATTTCTACCAGCATGTTAAATGTGCAACCAGAGGAAAATAAACTCTAGACCACCTTTACTGCACGCATACAAAGCTCTCCCTCGCCCTCCATTTGGCAAATCTGACCATAACTCTATCCTCCTGATTCCTGCTTATAAGCAAAAACTAACGCAGGAAGCACCAGTGACTCGGTTAATAAAAAAGTGGTCAGATGACGCAGATGCTAAGCTACAGGTCTGTTTTGCTAGCACAGACTGGAACATGTTCCGGGATTCTTCAGATAGCATTGAGGAGTGCACCACATCAGTCACTGGCTTCATCAATAAGTGCATCGATGACGTCGTCCCCACAGTGACCGTACGTACATACCCCAACCAGAAGCCATGGATTACAGGCAACATCCGCACTGGGCTAAAGGGTAGAGCTGCTGCTTTCAAGAACTGGGACTCTAACCTGGACGCTTATGAGAAATCCCGCTATGCTCTCCGACAAACCATCAAACAGGCAAAGAGTCAATACAGGACTAAGATTGAATCGTACTACACCGGCTCTGACGCTCGTCGGATGTGGCAGGGCTCGAAAACTATTA